TAGGATCTGAAAACAAGCAATAGACGTTTCATCGCGTTAGGGGAAATGGCTTCTTCGAAAATTTCCAAAAACCTTAAAAGTCAAATTGGTCTAGGGTCTCAGGTCAGAAAAAAAACAATCTCAATAAATTCCCGTCAAAAGAAAAAAGTTGTCGTTGGCTAGAATATAAACAGACGAAATCGAGAGGCAAAATGAAGCTTGAATGCGTTTACTAAAGCTGGAATACAAGGAGCTCAAAAACAAGCAGAGATTGGAACAAGCACAAATCCACGAGGAGAACAGAAAAATTATATTGAAGCCAAAATAGCTAAAGTGAGCTGGAGGAGGACTCCGACTAAGTTAACTCGTTTGCTTGCTCTGTAGCTCTCACAGGAAAACAGCAGACAAACGCACAGAAACTTGGGTCGAAAACGTGCTACATTGGAATCCAGAAGTGACCGTAATCAAACCGACCGCATAAAGTTCTTGATTGACTACTGTTCAAAATAAGGTACCGTTGGTGTTACGCCTAATCAGATGGTTTATCTTAAACAATTAGGCCCTCCCATGATTTCTAAATCTTTTAAGCAGATTGCTGCCGGCACTGATACTCAGCAAAATATAGGCAATTATAAGTCAACTAGAATTCGAAATATAACACAACCACACCGGTTTTCAAATGCTAATCAGTGAATTAACCCTGAGCCTACCACGTTTATTTTTTGAAAATGTTTAATCAATTTTGTATTTAAATTTATCTCCTCATACTGTAGGTCACCCCTGTAGGTCATCCCACCTACATCAGTCAGCTTTATAATCCAAACCACGAATAGTCGTTATCTGCAACTGTAACTACGATCCCTGCAGTTTGTAACCCGTTAGCTTTGAATGAAACATCTCACATTTTTGAGACAATTATACCTGTTGCCCCTACAAAATCCATAATGTTCCCGCACAAGAGCGGTGGAGCAATTCATTTTTTCACTCCGCCACAATAGCAAAAACTCTTGCAACTAACGATTGCTTCGGATTTTTTTTATTGCTCATCGGTTCATCAGCTGTTTTTTTTAATCCTGTCGCATCGTGCTTAGGCAAAAAACCCGAATTATGTCAATCCGTCATGGCAATCGTTATCCGTTCGAGACTTAGCCAAAGTCTTGGCATCGAATTGGAAGAATCCATTACCCAAATGGAAACTTTTCAAATATGCTGGTAATCCGTTGGAAGGGTATGAATTGTTAGGTAGGTGTCTGAGTGAGGTTGATTCTCAATCAGCTCTTTTGGATGAAGTAAAGTTGATGTACCTTAAAACATTGGTAACTGGGAAAACTAAAATTGCAATATTCAGGTCGAATGTACAGGGATGCACTAAGGGTCCTTGATTGAAAATATGGGCAACCTCAAACCGTCGTGAGCACCCACCTCAAAAAATTTAACAGCGAAAGATGCACAATTTTAAAAGCATTTATATTTTGCTTGTGGTTTATTTTATTTCAAGTCTTGTTTGTGTCTTGCATCGTTGTCATATCAGAACGGTCTTAAAAAACAGCCATCTTGATTGAAGCCTTATGTAAATGGCCTCCGAACATGAATCAGTCAAAAAAATTGGGGTTCCTTTATGGGGTTGAAAAAATTTAAGGAAAAGAACCCTACACAAGGGCGTAGTTTATTGCGGCTAAAAAAAACGCTGTTTCTCCTGTCTCCAAGCTGTTGACATCTTCCGTGATTGCCCGAAGGCTAGGAAACGCACTAAATCTGAGTGCGAAAGTACGTACAATGTTTTTTTTGGATGGTGCGGACCGCTTTTTTTCTTGTCGAAAGGAGAAAAACAAGTCGTTTACCGGAAAAACTCTGGCGCAAAAATCAATATCGTCTTGTTTTGCACCCGTGCAGGACGTTAAAAGTCTTTTCAAGGTTATTGATGCAAGTGTTTCATCTAAGTCAAAAACTGATAACGCTCTCCAATTATATGATTCCGCGAGCAATCACATCTGGCTTTCAACGATTTTTGTTTCGACTGAGATAGTCAAGGTCTTACTATCCGCTGACAAAGATAAAATCGATTATACTTCAAAGTACCCGCTTGCGTAAATGAGAAAGTTAATGTTGGGTCTCAAAAGGTTGATGTTCCGGCCCTCCAAGAAAATTATTCGTACCTGGAACCAATAAAACATGCTCGGTCTAGTTATTATCACCACACACGCCCGCTCGATTGGATTCATGATGCAGATAGGAAAACTCCAATTGCTGTTTGCTTGCCAGTAGGATGAGTATTGAGTGGCCCACTCCCCTCATCGTCTGGGTGATAATCATCATGTTTCAAATGCAAAAATGAAGACGTGGAATTTGTTTTTCAGGTTAAAGCGTGGTATGATTTAGAAGATGAGAAAATTACAAGCAAGCTGATGCTTGTTCGGCAGCCTAACAGCGAGCACATAACCTTCTTGAATCAACAACTTACCATGATGGTGAACGGTATTGGTTAGGATTGTTATTGGCCAATGATAGCAGTTCTTTACCCATGAATTACCACTCAGCGCTGGCCCAGATCAAGACGCTTGGATAACGACTCGAGAAAGATTGTGGTTTGAGGAGTAAATACACTGAGACAAGGAAAATGGAACTCGATAAAGGTTATGTTATTCTGGTTGAATCGCACAATCCGCAGCTCCAGTCTGCCCCTGAATAAGACTTACCCAACAACCTGTTCTTAACTCAAACAAGCCAGCTAAGGTTCGTCAGGTTTTAAGTGGCGCGTCAAAATTTCACGGTTAAACTTTAAACAAATCTTAGCTCATTTGGTCTGAATTATTGCAAAACTTGTTACACATGATAATGCTCTTCCGCCAACATCAATTTGCCGTATCCACGAACAGGGAGGATATGATACTTCAGTTTGGGGTTGAGCACCCCTTGTGATCAATCTTCATTGCTTTTCTTGTGGCGCGAGGATACTCATCGTATGTGGAAACTCTCAGTATTCCTCGCATAATTTCGGTGCTCCCCGACGTGCGCGAATTTCGCACTTCATCAAACCACCAGGCATAACGTTGAAAAACTTCCTGAAGCACCTAAAGCAGTATGTACTAGTTTCTACATGGATGGTTACACGAATTTGATGATGCAATGAGACTAAGCAAGGATCTGGCGAACCTCCTTAAATTGGGGGATTTCCGTCTCACCAATCTTGTTAGCAAGGTTTCATTGGTTTTCGATACTGGTGGTTTGGTGGCTTCCTACACGATAAGGGCGCGCCTGCTTCTAAAGGACATTTGGGGCATAACTGGGCAGCAATGTGATGATCCATTAATAGAAGCGCTACGGAAGCAGTTCATTGAGCGGCATTCATGTCTGTTTTGTCCTTGGTGAAATAGTGCTACTTCGGTAATCAATTTGATCAATGTGAGCTCCATATTGTTAGCTCGCGAGATGTGTTTTGCGCGGCTGGTTTCCTTTTTGCCCGCATCATTAAGACACGAAAAACCAAATTTGCGTAGTATATTGGTAAAGCAAAAAGTAGCCCCGATGAAGGCTTTGCCCTTTTCGAAGCTGGAATTACATTCAGTCTTGCTGGCATCCAAGTTGAAGGAAGATATACTACGGGCACTTTCAATCAAGGTAACCAGCACCTTTTTTGTGAACCGATAACACCACGTCGACAAATTAAGGACTTTTGTCGCAAACCGTCTTTCTGAAAAAAAAAGAACTCACAACTGTGAAGAAATGGTTCCATATAAAATGGAGATAATCCGTGGAGATAATCTCGCGGACACTGGGACACGCGGAATATTGGCGGAATGCCTGGAAGAAAGCAGTTGGGTCAGGGGACCAAGCTTCCTTGTAGGCTATGAGTACTTGTCAAACCATATCTGGATGTTGTTATCAATATCCTTTCAAAAGTCTGTGGTTAAGACCATCGACAATTTCACCACATGCTCTCACGAGCATTTCGAAGCAGTCTGAGTCCGTATTTGGTCGAAGAAAGTATAGTAGTCATAAGAAACTGCAGCGATACGTTTGCTTTATGTTGAGGTTTTTGCCGAAACACAAGCACTTGCGCGGGCCTACTGCTCAAATAGCGGACCCGACCATGATAGAAATTGCGAAAGACAAATTATTACTTTTAGATTTAATTAAAAAGCACCAATGGTTCCAAGTTGACAAATTTTTGCTTTCAATTTGTTTTTCGGACAACCTTGAGACACAGACTCGGTCTGATAATTTAGGTTTTGCATTCCAAAATTTTTCCACAAAAAGCTCAATTGCTCTTTTAAATAAGTTTGTGTGTCGGATTTTTTGTTACCAATTGTAACTTGAATTCAGTACGTGACCATCTGCCAGTGAATCTACGCAAGCGAATTGCTAATAACCAATCACACCGCTGTTGATCTTATGGTTCATAATTACATAACAAAGATATTTACGTATTAACACCAGCGGATATTTAGTTCATGAACATTTATCAACCGACTATGAAATAGATAGCTTTGTCTACCCTACCCAATAAATGTTTCATACAAGTACAGTTTTAAGTAGGCTGGTAAAAATGTAGGCGCTATGTTGTTTTTGCTCCTAAGATAGCTAGTTTCTTCTGGATTCGATACAAAAGTTATCAAGGCTGGTTTTAGCGTTTTCTTTCGGGTTTCTTACCCAAAAACTTTCAAGATTTTTTGTAAATGGTTTTATGAAAACTTTTTTTGCCAGAAAATTTTATGTGATAAGGGCAAAATTTACAGAAAATGTGCAAAAATAATTTTTGATCCTAGCTCGAAATTTTAAAATTAAACTTTGACGTCGTTTTTCTGGCACGCTCTTTCTGCTCAGGAGTAATATGACATCGTTAAAACACCTGTAATAAATACACTTTTGTTCCCTAAAAGGGATAGAAAAGTGACTGATACCCTTTGCGAAGTGATTGGGTCGAAACTTGATTTTCAGCAAATTGTACACGTTTTATTGTTTAACCCTGGCAAAAAGTACAGCCAATGAAGTTGCGAACGCTTTTTAAAAGTGAAAAGTACCTGGATTTTGAATTTTTCCTGGTCGTGGGGAACATAAAACACGACATCGGTTTCTCCAATTTGTGATTCCTTCAAATTTGACAGCTGAACACTATAAAACATCCGATTTCTAGCCTTTTCATAGTTGGTATTCAGAAGAACTGAAGGGTTCAAAGCCACAACTTTCAACTGAGCATCGTACTTCAATGTAAGATCGGTGCTAAAAGTCTCCTCGCGGTCGATTTGTTCCCGATTTGCCCAAGTGAGACGGTAACTGAACTTGAATTCATTAAGTGTTGTTTCGCCTAACGCTAATTTTTGCACTGAAAGAACGATGTTGATATATGCTTTCGTGAAATATTTTCCCGCCACAAATTTGCACCATATGAATGAACCTGAAACGATAAGCGTCCAAATCAGTAGCGGGTTTAGGGGGGGGGGGTTGGGACGCCCTTTCTTCTCAGGGAATCGACCCTCTGTCGACCCAAATGGTTCCCCTTCGTACTATTTTGAGATATCCATTTTTGGCTGGCTGACCTTAAAGTTTTTCTATAGGCGCCTTGGGCGCCAATCTATAATAGCTTTGAGGGCGGAGCGCACGCCGAAAAAACGCAATTTTTTGGTCGAAATTTTCCAAAAAGTGCCTAAAAACGCCTTTTTTTGGCCCTTTTTCAAAAATTTGCGACCAATTTTTCAAAATTATTTTGAAAATCCGCCCCCCTCGAGAAATTCTTAGATCCGCGCCTGGTCTAAATAGAAAAAATTGCCTTCATAGATCCTCTGCAAATCGCAGAAACAACGCAGTTATTGTTATTTAAATTGTTAAATTATAAAGTAATCGAATAAAAAGCACTTTTGGTTAAAATCTTTGTTAAAAATTGCAGCAATGAACGTTTGTCATGATCCGCGGCCTATGACGGAAGTGTACCACATTGTTCTTGCCGAATGAATCTCAATCTCTGAAAAAAACGGCTAATTTATTGCGATCTTTGTATAAATATAAAATTCGTGCTCTTAGGATATAAAATTTTCGTATTTCCGATGATTTTATGAAAATTTCCGTACTACGACAGAGAAGAAAAAATGTTTCAAACACTCAAAACTTATTACGAAGGAAAAAATTAATTTTGAAAAAATAATACCAAAGTATGTGTCGCGTGTTATTGAACCTTAAAATGTTTTAAATGCATCAAAACATTTAAATCTACACAAAATTTCAAAACGTTTCATAGAAGTTTATCGTGTACATTACCGTCTTTGCGACATGAAACGATGTTGCCGGGAGTCGAAGATGCCTTTATTAAACCCAAATTGCTTCCACCTAAGTTGATTTCCAAATTTCCTTCCACGAAACTCTCCTCTTGACCAGAAAGAGTTGTCACTTCAATTGCCAGTGTCATATTCGGCTTTTTCTGGTCTAAAATAACCTGCTGGCGTTTTGGCTTAACACTCAACTTGACATCAGCTAAAGGCCCAATCGAAAACTCAATTTCTTGGGAAATCTGCGGAGCAAGAACCGGGTTGCCAATAGACGGTTTTGAAAGTCTTAAATAGCCTGCAGAAATTCTGGTATCTGCGTTTACGACCATTGTGGATCCAAAAAATTCTGGGAAGTTGCCATAGACAAAAATGTCAGCTTCTTGACTATCATTTTGTTGCGGTCCGAACTCGACATACTGTAGTTTAGTTGATACATAAACAGTATTCATTTTTGGCGTGTCTACGAACTGTTTGGAGAATTTGACTCGTACTGTGAAGTCACTGGCAAAGTTCCATTTCTGAATTGCTGGAAGTTTATCTGGCTCGAACGGATCAATTATCGGTATTCCTCTGTTTTCCATAGTTATTTTTATTTTTTGGCAGAATTTATATTGGGATCCATATTCTGGACAAATAGGGTCAACGCCATAATTCGTGAACAATACGCGCTTCGGAATGGTATCCACGTGAATCAGACGAATGTATGAATTTGAATAATACACATGTGAGTTTTGGGCATTTTTTCCAGGGTCCCCGATGACCAAGTCATAGAACCCGTTTCCATCCAGGTCAGTTTTGGCGTCCCCGATGCTGAATCCAAAAAGTTGAGACTTAACAGGATTCATAGATATGATTTCTTGTAGAATTGCAGGGATCTCGCTTTGACGCGATGGATTTGAATAGACTGTACTAAGCGATCGTCCGTCGAATAAATATACTTTTCCTACTCCATTGTTGTATCCATTGTTTTCGTTTAATGATGTTACCAAGATGTCTTCTCGACCTAAAATGGAAATTAATCATTTTTGGGATTCTAAAAGTGTTGCAAATTTAGAAAACTGAGAGAACAAGTCCAATTTAAAAAGGTTCCGATTGCGTAGCTATTAAGAATTTTGAGGCTGACCATTTCAGTGCCCGAATATCGCAATCGATCGGGCAATGTCACCTGACAGTTGCCGATTTTGTAGTCTCGAATTCCGGTTTTTTCTATAAAAGAAAATCTCACTCTCCCGTATACTGTATAACTTCCAGGAAATTACTCTCAAAACTGATTAGCTCAAAAAATTATTTTGTTTTGTTCTTTTCCGCATATAGAGTTCTTTTTTGAATGTAAACTGTTATCGACAATGAGAGCAGAATCTCGTTTTCTGCACACATGCAGTAAATAAATTGATCAGTAAATTAAGAAATCAAGTTACGGTTTAAAACAAAAAAAAGACTATGTCATTGTTTTATTTCAACAGAAAATAGGGTCGTTCTGATGTCATTTTTGCGGCCCCCAGTTTGCTTGACATAATTTTATTATGAGCGAAAATTTGAACTCGAGAAAAATTTCTTTCAGTGTCACCAAAAATACTGTAAGCAAAGGAGCGTGGCTTAACATAGAACATTTTTGATGGCAATTTCTCTTTAGTGTAACAATCTAAAATTCCAGCAATAATAAAAGTAATTGACACAAAAGTTCCTTAAAATTATATTTAAAATCTTGATTCTCAACACAAATTCGTAAGACGAAAAAAAAACTTCAAAAATTCAAATTAGGAAACATAATATACAAGAAATTGGTATATCAGACAAACTTATTGTTTGCTTTCAAAGTATCAACACAAAAAATTTTTTGAAATCAGCATATAGATTGAAGCTGTAAAATCAACAACGAGATTGAAGCTGTAAAATTTCGAAAAAACAGTTACAATGGATAGGAACAACTGCGGATTTAGTGGAGGGGGTGATGGACAGACACATTTTTGTCGAGACCGGTAACAGTCCTGCCCCCTGTAAAAACTACACATTTCTCGGTCGAAATAAGTGTTTTCTGCACTTCGTCGTTTTGGAATCGGGATCTTCTTCGGAGAAGTCTGGGTGACTGGCTTCTTCGCCCTGTCCCCCTGTCCCCCCTACCCCTCGTAATATTGGTGTTACCTCCTCCTCCTCTGGGCCTTTTGACAGTCCTCGGCAGAGCACTTGGTGAAGCCTCCGGTTTCATTCCCAGTTATTCGTCCGAAGTATTCTAAATCGTAGCCACAACATTCATATGAGTTGATCCGCCCGTAAACGCACTTATTACTAAACCGTTCCCCAAAAACATTGACTGCATTTTTTCCCTCATTGGCCGTGTTGTATGGCGGGTAATTGTCGTAAGTCGCGTGATCCCAGGATCCTGAGATGATTCAAGACTCTTATGTGGTGGTGTCCCCTCCTTCCTCTTTTATTTCCATTGGCGTGGCCCTCAGCGATGACATTTCATCCCCAGTGGATTGCGGCTCCTGAGTTTCTATTTCTTGCGAGTAGTTGTTTTCAATCTCCTCCATGTCTTCTACGCCCTCCTCGGCTGAAGACAACTCAACCGGACTATCAGAAATAACTGTTGTTTCCATCCTGAGCGCGCTTCTCACCTCGGAACTTGAAATTGGGACAATATCCTCTTTAGACAACTTGTTATCCAGCAGTGACGCCTGAAGCTCATTCTTCGCCTAGTCGGGCTGACTATTATCCGCCGCCCGCTCCGATACTAATGGGATTGGTCTTGTCTGAACTTCTGAGTTCTCGACCGGGCTCTCAGTAGACATGAGTCCCTCTGGCGAGCTGTCTATCGTTATCGGGTTGTCTGCGGTCCCTCTGGCATCTACTAGTTTGTCCATAGAAGTTTGCCCCATTATTTCCTCTGATGCTGATAACGCGGCTATTTTCCGGGCATCCCAACTTTGTCTTACGCCTTTCTGACCGTCGGACTCTTTGATGACTCGTCCTTTGACACAATAGTTCCCTCGGTCTTATCACCTAAATTTATTGAGATATCAGACTTATGCAAAACTTCCCGGAAAACAAGGTGGGTGTTTGATTCGTCTCTCGAACTAACCGGTCAATCGGTGGTTCAAAAAAAAATCCGATTTCAACTAATCCTTGATTTTTTGAAAAACTTTGTAATTTAATTTTCTGGGCTTCATCACAGGAGCACTTGTAATTTCCCCGGAGGGCTTCGGAACCGTCATCCTTGAAAATATAGCGGGTGCTCGATTGGATCGAATGTTCCCATGTTTGCCTCGTCATCGGGATTTCCGTGATCCTGCATTACCTACGCGGGAAATATCTCTTGATCCAATCTCTAGAAATTAACACATTGTTCCATTTCAAATTTTCGGACGAAGCAGAACGTGTGAACGAACGCCAAATCGTAGTTGATTTGCGAGCAAAATGTGCTTCAAAAAGCGTACACCCCAATGATTGGTGAACTGTGGTCCTAATGTTGTACAAGATTTCATTAAAACCCGGCTTTCTCTCTGAAAAGAATAAGCCATCAGCCTTTCCAGAAAAATACGTACACAACGTTCGACGAGACCTGTGGTCCACAATGTCCACAAACAAACATTCTACCAACAACTCTTATTAAGTCGTTTGTCGCACTAAATCAAGTTTTCTTAATCTCTTCCGGCACCGATTTAACAGCATGAAATTGATCTTGAATATTCAGCTCATATAGTTTCTTCTGTGAGATGAACGATACTGGACTGGCAGAATCAATCTGGAACTATATCCGCCAACGGCTTTGGCCCATATCAATTTCAAACATTTTCAAACTCTTCTTGCCTCCTTTGTCCAAAATCGTCTTGATAAAGAAAACCCCAAATTCTTCGTCTTATTGTTCCAATTACTAATAACAATCGTTTCAAATTGCGTAAACTCATATGCGCCATCAAGTTGATTGACCGACGGTCTCTTGCAAAACCTCGCGAAATGCCCTCGGCAACTACAACGATGGCAGATGATGTTCTCTGTCTGCAATGATCCCTTTGATTGGGTTTTAACAGGTTTCCCTTAATGTGACATTAGTCTAGCACTTGGTTATCAACCCCAATGACTGGTTTGCGTTTAACATAATTTCCCTCTTAGCCTCATTGCCTGGCGTTGCATTGTTTGAGCGATTACCGTTAAATATTTTTCCTGAATCTTGGTATTCCACCACTGACCCTCTTGTACATAAGTTCGCCTCTCTCTCAAACAACAGAAAAAGTTAGTACCTCCCCCAGATCTATTGTTTTCATTCATAATTGTTTCTTAGCTTCTTCATTTTTATTTTGAACATAGAGAAATCACGAACAATGGATGTTTCTCGATCCGCAAAATCACAGCCGCGAGTAAGGCCACTGAACGCCCCAAAGAAATGCTCCATAAATTTCTTATCCAGTTGTTTTTGAAATAAGAATATGATATTTTTGTTGGTTTCGTTTTTTTTAATGAAACGTATCAGTCAAAATCTTCCACAGCTCGATGAAAATTATATCCACAATTTTACGATAGGGTTGCTTCTGATTGAAATATATCTGTCCTTCGTTTCCCCAAGGACAAAATTAATTTTGATTTCAATCGTTTATCCGCGTCTCCCAGGGCCGATCCTCTGAATACTCTACACTTTTCATCTACCCGCCGGTTTTCTTCATCCCGCCATGCTGCTATAGCCGTCGCATTCTGTGCCTCTCAATCTGTTCTTGCCTGCTGATCCTCCGTTCCTGCCGGCTCTTACGGTATCGGATAAGGGTTACTGGGCAATCCATTATCTTGCAGCAAATCCTCGATATCAGTTTCATTCTTTGCTATGACTATCAGTTGGAAGCTTCGACTCTATTCCTCCCACAAGACCGGCGGCATTTGATCAACCCGCGGTAGGCCGAATCCGTATTTGACTGCACCATGTGCAAGTAAGCCTGAGGAGTATTTCATAAACTTAGATAGAGATGCAAAACGTAAAAGAATGAACTTTAATTCAAAACGGTTACGCCAGGCACTGGCTGTACGTCCACTTCACGTTGATTATAAGGTTGACCTTGACGGTCATAAGACGTTACATAAGATATAAATACATTAATAATAACAAATAATACGTACATACTTTGACCTCTACACCACAAATTTCCCCCCTTCAGGAGTTCGACCCTCTGTCGACCATTCGACCCCCTGTCGACCCAAAGGGTCCCATCTTTGTACTGTTTTCAAGTATCCGTTTTTGGTGACGGACCTAAATTTTTTCTAAAGGCGCCCTGGGCGCCAATATTTACTAACTTTAAGGGGGGAACGCGCGCCGAAAAAACGCGATTTTTTTGGTCAAAATTTTCCAAAAATTTCCTAAAAACGCCTTTTTTGGCCTGTTTTTTCAAATTTTTGCATGCGGCTCTTGAGATCTTAACAGTGATTTAGGAGTGCTCGGAAAATCAATTTGGTCGATATAAAAAAAGTCGACAAAATTTTCGAAAGTTTTTGAAAAATCGCCCCCCCCTCGAGAAAATCCTAGATCCGCCCCTGGATAGGGAACCGATTGGAAGGGATATTTATACTTAGTTTTTTGAATCAATCTGAATACTTTTAAAATCAACTGGAAAATATTTTTTTTGAAAGGT